GGGCTACCGACGCGCGGAGGGTGGCGTTCGAGAGGGCTCCTCGAGCTGAAGGGATCCTCCGAATTTGGTGGAGATCCGCCGGCGCGTTCGGGAGACAGTGACACCAGTCAACACTTTCACTTCAGTAAGGAGGTCTCTTGTTCAGGCAGCAGCATTCAAGCGTGGACTTATTCGACCGCAGGTGCCCTGAAATTCTGCCATGAATCCAGTTCCAAGGGAACATACACTTTACATTCAAAGGGTATTAAAGTGCGCGAGACGTGAATTTATATTAACAGTTAACATGTTTTGCTCAAACTTTCGCCATGGCATTAGAGCTGGTACACCGCTGTCGCTTGCTAAATCAAAATGATGACGCCATGGGTGGAAACTTACAGATTAAGGGGCGGTAATATTATAAATCAGATCCCTTTGCAACGTCACTAGGGGAGCGAAATCAGACGCACGGTCCGCGTCAAGTCGAACACACCTACTAGTTTACACCGGTTACACTCAGAGATGTGGCGCACACATGAGTCTGTAGTGTGAATGCGTCCCAGCCCCCTTAGATGTAAGGCTACATTTACACGGGTGTGTTTTTGTTTTGAAATGAAAACGATCCTCGTCATACTGGCATTTCCACTGCGTTTCAAGCCGGCTTTCCACTATTTTCCGACAAGCGACAGACCGGAAGTCATTCATTTCCAATGGAGAGTGCAGGAGCTGCGTGGAGTTCTGATCATATGCAGATGTCCGTTCTAGGGTTGTGCCGATAGACGATAGTATCGTGTATCGACGATAGTCAGAGATATCGACGATAGCAGATGTCTTTGTCCATAGTCAAGACGATATTAGGCTCATTGTCCTATTAATGTATTAAATTATAATAATAATAATAATTATTATTATTTTTATTAGGCGGCCTATTATAATTCGGCTATCAAATTGCCCCGCTACAGATCTACAGATCTTTCACACACGCGCGCGCAAATGAGGATTAGAGCCTGTAGCCGGTGAAGGAGTCTCCAACCACAAACAGACGTACATCGTCTGCAGATAAGGTATTTCATTGCACTTTAACAAGTAATCTGAACGGCCTATATATGTGCAATATTTTTTATATATAACTTCATTAACTGAATTTAATGCCACAGTTATGTTAGAATTAGGGTGGCCATATGCGCCGTTCATACGGGACACGTCCCGGCCAGGATTTTAATATTGCCTAAAATATCCAGGTTTTGGCTGTTTGCACTGTGCAGGTTGATCATTGTGTGACATTCATGAGAGCTATAGAGAGCAGAGCAGACAGCTCCTTATGCTTTCGAATCGCTCTCGCACCTACTTTGGTGTCTTTTTTGATCGGTGCGCAGTGACGCTTCAAGTCAAACGAACGAACAAACACGTGTGCATATTTGCATCGCTTTGATCGTTCCCTGTAGATCTCACCTTCTTACGATTGGTCGATTATGTACAATACCAGCATGTTATTGGTCAAACTGCTTTGGATGTTTTAGGCAATATTAAAATCCTGGCCAGGAAGTGTCCCGTATGAACTGCGCATATGGCACCCTAGTCAGAATGCATCTCATTCTTGTTTCTGTGGCGGTGCGTCGGGCTCGGGTGTGCGGTCCGGAGCGCTGTATGACTGATGTATCCGTTCAATTTAACTTTACTCCAAATATATGAACTTACCTGTTTTAAATACTTTATTTTTAACGTGTTCGTTTATGTCCAATATTTAGTGTTAAACTGTTGGTCTTTAAATGAAATCTACTATTGATTTTCACCATTGACTGATTTTGCAGAACATTTAGACTCATAACTTCCGTACGCAGATGCGGCAAATTTGTCACAGGACGCGCGGTATGACAGTTTTGTCCGACTATATATGAACTAGCTGTTTTAAATACAGTATTTTTATATTTAACATGTTAGTTTATCAGTATGTTTGAAAGTATATTATTTAGATTATTGGTGCTTCCATAGGCTCACTCTCGCACACCTGCGTGGTTTAAAACACCAAACAGTTATGCTATGACAAGTACAGAGAGTCTCTCTCTTGCCCCACCCATGCACGATAATATCGTGTATCGTCGATCTCATGGGTTGACGTTATGACGATTTGAAAAATGACCATATCGCCTAACACTAGTCCGTTCATACTACACGACCGAAAGCACGTGTTATGTGACCATTCATGCAAACTGTAGCATCATGCTACATAAGACAATAAATAAGATTTATATTCCGCTTTTACTCAAAACTCACTTTAAACCACCATCGAGTGTTTGTAATAACTTCCGATTGCCATCTAATGTGTGTTTTGGCCATGTAATGTTGCTGAAATTAAATATGTTATTACCTCTGACTCTGAGTCAGAGCAGCGATCATGGAAGAGAGAACACAAGCAGACAGCGCTGGAAGATCATGGAAGAGAGAGCGCAGGCAGACAGTGCTGGAAGCTGCTAATGCTCATCAGTAAATCAGTGGAAAATAAATAGAAATCATGATTCTGACGTCTGAGCAATGCGTTTTAAAACGAACTAGTGTAAATGTAACCTAACAGATGTGTAAACTGAAGACTATCTGAGCTTTATTAAAACTATTTGCACTGATTTATTGTGTTGGTTACATTTTGTTCCTTTGTGCAGTGGCTCAGGAGATGAGTCTTTGAGTTTGTATAAACATCAACAAGCTGAAAAATAAAACCAAAGTTTTTTTTTTTAGATAATGTAATCTTGTTAAAATTGATTTCACAAAATTGGTATCGAAAAAAGTATCATTCAGGAACCGGTATCGAAGTCAAGGTATTGGTATCGATATCGAAAATTTTTGAACGATACCAAACCCTAGTTATTGGGTTAATCTTTTTCACGATTCCTTGGTTGGTAGATGCACCGAGGACCTGATTATAGCACTTAAAACCGGGAAAAGTCTTATTTTCATGATATGTAGAGCCCGACCGATATGGGTTTTTTGGGGCCGACACCGATATTAGGTAGTAAATAAACGCCGATATCGATATATCGTCCGATATTCTTTGTGTATATTATAGTACAGTACCAGTCAAAAGTTTGAGGTGAATTTTCCCATTCTTGTGTCCACACATTTGACTGGTACTATATATAGAATACAGTATATACATAAACCGAATATATATACATAAACACATTTTTTGCAATGATCACTCAAATGTGGTGATCAAACACTTATAATGACGTTACGGAGATACGTA